TGGAGAACGCATTAATTTTGTAGCGAAGGCACTGGCCCACGTCTTTGAGGACATGCATGATTTTCTGAGTCAGAGCAGCAGTAATCCAGTTGCATATTCTGTTCATGACTTCCAAGAAGAGTTCCCTTTAGGCAAATGCTATCCATTTATTCAGCAAAAGTGTTCAGGCTGCTGCTTTTCGACAGGTACTGGGTTTCAGGTGACCTCAGTGACCTGTACAGTCACGGTGTCTGCCCTCCGATGGGAAACCACCCTTTACCCCAGCATCACCAATCAAGCCAGCAAATGGGGTGCAGCAAAGCTGCAGCCAGGCTCGGGGCAGGAAGAGAGATTCTGTGTTTGAGGGACACGGAGGGGACAGGAGTGCAGAGACCCTGGGAGGCGGTGGGGTCCTGAGCCGAGCTGGATCATGTCCGGGGAAGTCTGTTGAGGGGAGGGGAGGTGGAGGGGCAGCAGGCCCAGCTGCTAGAAATGGGGTTGGTTCGAGAGAAGTGGGAGGTCAGGCTCCTGCCTGGAAGGTGGGCGCTCCCAGCATCCTTCCCGGCCCCCCTCCAGGCAATGGTCTGGAAGTCCACATGGACTCTTCTCGAGCTGACTGCTTCTTTAGCCCACGTAACCTGATCATAGTGCTGCCCACACCTCCCTTGTCCCCGGCTCTTTCTCCCATCTCTCTGTGAACAAGCAGGCTCTCCTGGAGCCGCCTGCCTGCCCTCAGCAGGACCGGCCACTGGGCTTTTCGTTTGTGTCTGGACGGGGCCGGCAGCTGCCCTCTCAGGCAGAGGCAAGGTTCATGTTCAAGCCTGGAATGGTGAACCGGGGCAAGGCATAGAGGAGGAAGGAATCCTCTCCAGCCTGGCAGGTTAGGGACCAAGACCTTTTCTGTAGCCAGAGAAACCCACTGATTTGTCTGATTCATGGAACAGCTGGTTGTTTAGCTTTGTAAAAGCTAGTTGCTTGGTTAAATAGGCAAACCTGTCAATATTTAAGTATTGACTTCTGTGGAGTCCAAGTCTGACGGCCACCTGGGCAGCCCCAGCAGCTCCACTCTAGGAAGCAGCACCAGAACTCAGCAGCTTCGAGTAGAATCCATCACGGCAGGGGTGGGGTGGGGTGCGGGGTGCAGGGGGCGAGCTCACCTCCCTCTCGGCGGCCTTTCCACCACCTCGGGGTGGAAGCCGGCTATGTCACTCTTACTACTTTTTGTATTTTGTCCTACTTTAAGAAGCAGGGAGGCCATTTGGAACCCACCTAAATGTGGACTTGCTTCAGGGTCGCATCATTTCAATTACCTGGAAAAGGACAGAGAAATGAAGTTCCATTTATTTCTTCTTTTAAAGTAAGATGTGATGTCAGCGGGTGAGGTGCCCTCTCTGGAGACACTGAGCAGCCAGCGCAGGTGCTCTGAGCGGGGAGAGTGTTTGAGTTTTCTCACACCATCCTCATTCGGTGGCACTAACTGCCCAAAGGACAGGAAGTCCGAAGCAAGGAGAACACGTTTACTAAGTCAGTAGTGTGAGACCCACACAGAGAAACTTGAACCGGGAGCAGCATGGAGGGTCCAAGCCCACAGGATACGGCTTCTCAAGAGGGAAAGCTCAGTGAGCGGCTGGCCAGGAGGACATTCCGCCCCCAGCCGCCAGCTCACCCACCTTCATCTTCAGCAAGGAGAGGAGAGGACTCTCCGGTGTGTCTGCCTTGCAGGGGGACAGCTGTGACAGCCCTTCCCAAAGGGTCACATCACAGAGTGTCAGCCTGGCCTTCGGGATCCCGAGGGCAGCCCTCCCCACGGTCAAGAGTGTTCTACCTGGCCTGCGACTGAGCCTTGCGGCTTAGTCATGGGCAGGAGTGGTTTTTTTTGGGGGGGGGATCTCTCAGATTCCCCTTTCCTCCATGATTGTGTACGTTGGAGCTGTGTTAATGAGAAGTCATCAATAACTAATGAAATCTTACTTCCATGTAGAAAGATCATTAAGATTTCATGGTTTGAATGAAGAGTTTTAAATCAGTTGGCTTTTTAGTCCCTTCTGAGAGTAGGATGTGGCTTGGGAGAAGAACCAGCGACAGCTTTTAGCTTTTACTGGCTAGCAGATTGTCTCAGTTAAGTTCAGCTGCATTCATGCAGTGTTCAGCAAATTATTATTATGTGCTTATGATACTCCAGGCATAATACACCACAATGAGCAACGTCGACGCTCTTGTGAATTATGTCCTAGTGAGGAGAGACATATAAACAAATGAACACATGCATGTCAATCACATGATCACAAATCAGAGTGGCTTAAACTGCACTGGGATCTATTTTTCCATCATGGTGAAAAGTCCAGAGGCCAGCAGGTGCCGGGGTTGGTTTACTAGTTTAAGAACATCAGTGCTGCGACCTTCAAAATTCTCTTAGCTTTTTCCTCATGGTCACTGGAGGTTGCTTCAGCTCCAGTAATCACATTCTTTTTCTAGGAAGAAAGAGGCAAGAAGTGCAAAGAATATACTTTGAGCTGAGTCCACCTCTCTTATGAGAATCTTTTGCAGACGCCCCATCTGACCATGTTTGCTTACATCTCATTGGCCAGTTTTGGTCACTTAACCATCCTTCTCTGCAAAGGAGCCTGGGAAATGTAGTTCTTTAGTTCAGTACCTTCCACACACAATCCAATCTCAGGATATTGGATGTTGTATAAGCCATGAGCAGCCTTGGCCTCTCAGATATGCAGTGTCATCAGTTGTAGGACAGACAGCTAAGGAAACTTTGTTCATTCTCCTTGTGGGTCTTCAGCTGCAAAGCAGTGATTAAAGCGTTTGATCAATATTGACTGATTTACTGCTGTCTTTCTAGGGAAAAATGCTTCAAACAATTTATTCCTGAAAAGGTTTTTCTTGGTCTCATCTATGATTTCTTCAGGTCAATAAGAAAAAGCATTGCTCAAAAGACGTGTAGAGCTAAGTGGGCACAACTGCCTTTCCTTGTCTCGCTCAACCAGTTTTGAAAATGGGAAAAGAAATGTTTTCCTTTATGGCTAAATAGCACGCTGCCAGAGAAGCTTAATTACGGAATGATAAAATTAGACTGTTAGAATTAGGTGGTCGGATGAATTATAATTAGTCTGAGGCAATGGCTATAGAATGTCAAACAGAAAGACAGAACAGCACTTGGTCTTAGAATAATGGAGCCTCTAAAAATGGTGAGATTGAATTTCTGTCTGTAGCTCAATCATTGTTTCTTCTTTTCAGTGCCCCGGGTAATCATAACCACCATCACAGCATAATAAAATGGCATTTATCCCAAGAAGAATTGCAAGGTGAAAAAGAACTTAACTGTAGTCGCGTGCTTGCCTCTACAAAAGGACACTGAAGACTGAACGTTCCCCTGTAACAGTTTGTGGAGCGGAGGCGGAGGTGGTGCCAGGGAATGGAATGCATTTTCTGCCCCCAGACAAAGCGTGACTCCTGTAACCAGCCACGTCTAAACATACAGGCCACAGACGACACAGGACTCATGTCTGTCACCTACCTGCTGTCTTTTGCAGCCTCTCTCTAGGACAAATGGTTTCGTTTCAGCCCCATGATCATATTGAAGATGACATTGGACCTGGGAGACCAAGGCCATACCAAGAGGTCCCAAAGGATCTTGAGAAACCTGAAAATTGCTGTGGGTTCCCCAGGCCAGGCAGTTCTGGGGGCAACTGAGAATCTCCTCGGGGGATGAAGTGCACATTTTGTGTGTATTGGGGAGGAAGGCAGGGATTTTTGTTGTCTGTTGTGGCATCTTTGAGAGCTAGAGATTATGGGCTGGAATTGTGACAAATGCCCACTGCTAATTTTTGAGGGTCACTGAGCCCGAGGAACAGTGGGGGTGGAACGCTTGAATTGTCTCAGACAACCAGCCCGATGCCGTCCTTCTGCACACAAGAAAGCAGACACCGTCTGCTCCACGCGAAGTTGGCTTCACTCCAGGCAGGAAGCCACAGCCTGGGAGGAGGTGCAGGTGCCTCTCCTGGTGCTGGAGCAGGGGCGGGGGCAGGGCTGCTGCTCATGTTGTACCCAGGACCCCCAAGATGCTGGCCCACAGGACCGCTGAGAAACGGAGTCAACAGGGAGGTGTGAAAGCCGGTGAAACAGACATCAGTAACAACATCAGTAAAATCCTGCCAGCCTGTTTTATAAAACAATTCAGGGAGGCTCAGGATGATTCAGAAAATATTTGCAGATGAGATGGCTTCTGGATGGAGCCTTCAAGAATTAGGATTCAGTCACTGAATGAAGGGAGGATGGCTCTGTAGGCCAATATCACAAAGCACGGGGTGCCTGTGTGTCTGGTGAGGCTGGAACAGGGCGGGGGCAGTGATACATGACAGCAGATACAGCCCAAGACACCATCAGAGGCCAGGTCAATCTTGCTTGTTGACTGTCCTGCAAATTCATCACTTACTGGGATTCACGGAAGACTTCCAGAAGGAATTTATTCTTGAATTTCATCTGTTTTGGTTTTTTATTTGCTACTTAATGAATTCACTTATTCAACACATCTTTCTTAAGGCCATATATGTACATAGCAATAGTCATGCACATCTCTGGAAATCTGACTGTGAGCCAGGCACTGTGTGCTTTATATGCACCATCTGTTTAAATCTCACTAAGCCTAGTAAGTAGGTACCATTAGAATCACAATTGTACAGGTGAGGAAACAGCCCAAAACAGCTAGATGTCTTGCCCAAGTCACACAGCCAAGAAATGGCAGAACCAGGACACCAGCCTAGAAAATGCGACTCTCCATCCCACCTTCCCACTCCCTGGGGCCAGAGGTCTTCCCGTTGGTCCTGAATCCTCTCCCCCTTCCCTCTTAACTCCTTTCAGGAAAAAAGAAATGTTCTTAATCACCAAACAATTGTTCTCAATCACCAAATCAAATTGTCGTGTAAAGGTATCACCATTTGTAAAAGAGAAGGGGGCTGGAGGGTCATAGAAAACCCCGAGTCTTCAGAAAACAGCACCCCAAAAGGAAGCCCTGACATCTGGATGGGAGGCCGCAGCATGCTGTGCTTACGGAGGTCCCTGCCGTCTTTATCTCCTGTCACCTCGCTTAATCCTGACTACCACCCCGGGGGAATGTTCTGCCCACTGCCAAGGGGAGCGTTGAGGCCTGCAGAGACAGTCAGTGATTTGTCCAAGTTCACACAGAAGAAAGGCCCAGTGGGGACCAGCGCCCAGGCTCTGGACTGTCCCCACCCGGGTCTCCTGCAACCCCCTGCGTTTCTCACGGACCAGCTCCGATTCATCTGGGCTGGATAAGCACCAAGGACAGAGCCTCCTGTAGCGAAGATCCAGGCTCTAACCTCGTGTGGCTGGCTGCGTTTGGTCCTGGGTCGCAGAAGAACTGTCCCTGCTGCTCTGCCCCACAGACTGCTTTGCCTGTTAAGCCTTTAAAGAAAACTTCTTTATTTCCTCTTTGAGTTCTGAGAAATGGTGAGGTTTGAATTTTCTGTATTTCTTAGAAATGAAAAAAAAATTGATGGAATTGTTCCATGATTTCCTTGTTTCATGACTACATTAAAACTCAGTGTTTTACAATAATTTCTTTTTTGTTTTGGGGGGAAGTAGTTAGGTTTTTACTTATTTATTTTAAACGGAGGTTGATTGTGTCAGTGAATGAGAAACTAGTATTCATTTTTAAGGGGACTGAACCCAGGACCTTGTGCGTGCTGAGCACGTGCTCTACCACTCAGCTATACCCTCCTCCCGTTAACAGTTCTCCAAGGCACAGAGAAGTAGCCTGGTTCCTCTGGGTGAAAACATACCATAGTCAAGCAAAAGGACTGAATCTATTTTGCGATCTTGTATCAGGATGAATGAGCGAATGAATTATGGAGGCCAGAGTTGAGGGCAGCCTGCCAAGAGTGGAAGATAGCAGCTACATCTCTAACAGCTTGGAGATGATTCTTCACCCATCATCTCACCTTGCCCCTCCATCTGAGAAGGTGGACATGAATGATCTCCTCCATGTGCGCAATTGCAAGATGAACGCAGGCTTTGCTGCAAACACCTGGTGACACGGGAGCTCAGGACCCCTTCTCCATGAATCTTCTTTGAGCAGTAAAGATAAATGACAGCAGGGCAGTGGGGGCAGGCTTATTTCATGGGCTTTCACTGCCGTGGGTGGGGCTGTCATCATCAGAGGAGCTGACCTCAGCTCTGGCCGGCCTTTCTCTGGAAGCCGTGATCCAGCACTGACACATAACTGAGCCATAAAGCACAAGATGTTTAAGAGGGAATCAGCTGGCAATTAAAAACAGGGCCATCTGAGACACTGTAATAAATTACCCGTCTGGAGGGAATTGGGAACAACTTGCTTTAAGGATAAAGCAGACTGGCTGAAGATTGGATTCAGTTCAAAGCCAGATGACATCCTTGTGCTGTAAAAGCACAGAACTACTCCAAACAGGAAAAAAAAAAATGTGCTTCAACCTGAAGCTTCTCACACCCTGGGACTGGTCGCTTACTGGTGGGAGGCCTCAGGTGTGCCCTGTCATGCTGGGAAAAGTGTACTCGGGCCATCAGTGACCGGAAGGAAAACCAGCCACCTGTTGGCCACACAAAGGATCGTGCCAAACATCTTCCTCTACTTCTGCGCTCAAGTCACCTTGTTCAGCGCGAGTCTCAGATGGGCCTCGGGGGCCCCTGGGCGCCCTCCTTCCGGTCCTTCTCTGATCCCCTTAGCTGCGTAGCCTGTTGCCAGGCCCCCACCCCGGGGTTTGGTCCCATCCTGGAGGCTGGACTGCATCTCAGTTCTGGGAGGAGCCCGTGGTCAGTGCTTCCAGAGCCCAGAGCCTCTCCTGGGAAAACAAACCTTTCTCTGGAATTTATGCCTGTCACACAGGGGTCTGCACACCGCAGGAGCCTGACGCTCTGTGCAGACAACCCAGACTACAAGAGGAATGCCACTCTCAAAGCTTTATGTGCTTCAGGATTGGGCTGGGCAGGATGGTGGGTTTTTGTTAAGATTACCAAAGGCTGATTGTGTAGACAAATGCAAAATTAGTATTTGTTTTTAAGATTAAAATGAAGGATCACTAAGAATACACTGTCATTTTAACCCCAGGCCCCTGGGGCGTACCTGCCGACCAGGTGATGCTGGGGCAGCGGGCTCAGTGGAGCAGGGTGCCCTTGGGTCCCTTTTCTCAGGGGGGCTGTGGGTGGGACAGCACGGGGAGCCTCCGGCCAGCTGGGCATCAGAGTCGGTGGGCTGTTACCAGTGGCCTGTGGGGCAGCCAGCAGCCCATTAAGTCTGTGGAGACGGGAGCAAAGACTAGGCCATGGTGCTGGCTAAGTGGTTCCAACCCACAGGGGACGCAGGCTCAGACCCCCCCAGGGTGTCAGACGTGCAGTCATCGGCACAGGGAGGTGGGTCAAGAGCTAGAAGGGGCCTGTGCTCATGTGAGAGGGCTTTGTGCTGACACGCTTCTCCAGGGGAGACTGAGGGAAGGACTCCTTCAGCCTGGCTGCAGGCAGGGCTCACAGGGGAGCGCGCCAGACCTCCAGGTCCCCGGGCCCGCCAGACGCACCACACCAGGCTCTGCCGAGCAAGCCCAGAAACCTGGCCTTGAAAAGCCCCCCTGACGATCCTGCGTGGCCTGGCTCCAGCCCCAGGCGCTGAATTAAGAAGCTCGTAGACTGAGGAAAACTGCCTTGTGTTCTCGCATGAGCGCTGTTTAAGCTGCAATTCACACGCACTCAGCAAGCCGAGTTGCCGGTGCTGTTTTCTGGTCCAAGGGATCTTAATCAACAAACATTAGAATTGGAGTAAAACGCCAGACCTCTTGATCTGGACCTGAATCGCTCACCTTCTTTTTTCAGAAATCCAAGTGGACGCTGTCTGTACAGACTGATTCCAGAACACAGTCCACCTGCAGACTCAGCAGTGGTCCCACCTGCGTGTCCTCAGGGCAGGGTCACTGCTGGGTCATCAGGGGATATGCCGGAGGAAACCCAGGGGATGGAGGCGCTGGGCTCGGGTATTGTGAGGCTCTCAGACCCTCCAGCCAAAGAGCCCTGGGGCCCTCCTCCCAGCCCTCTCACCACTCCGCTCCCACCTCCAGCCTGGAGTTCGCCTGACCACCCAGTGAACGGTTGACTAACCAGGTGGCAGAATGCTCTGTGGCGGGTTCCTGATATTTTAGTGAAGCTGGGACCTCACAGGTCCCGTTAGAACAGCAAAGGCCCTGAGAAGCCTTGCATTGGTTACCTTGGCATCAACTGTTCCAAGTTCAGGTGAAGCTTTGCCGCGCACTTATATACAGCGCGTGTCCAGTAAATACTGCAGCGCCTTGCCTCCAGTAAATACTCCACACAGACGTGTTGCATTGAGCTTTATGTCTTCGTTGCCCTTAGGACCGCCTCTTAAATAGAAAAGGAGCTCTTAAGCCAATAGCCAGTGAAGGGAGAGGCCTTCTCCTTTCCCTTCCTCTTCCTGCCCTGGTCCGTGACGTGGGTGTGCCCCAGCGCTCCTTGCCTCG